CGGCTCCCACGGTCGGAACCCGCACGTTCTGTCCCCGCAGTCCGTGTTGCCCTCGGAACTCGGCCGTACTGAGGAAGTTACTCAGTGCGGGGACTCGGAGAGCCCTCTTAGGAGTCACCTTCTGCCGTGTCTTCGATATCGGTACATGTTGCTTTGGTCACTGTCGCTGTGTTGCGAAGGTTGACAAGATTCTTTAGTGGTGTGGTGCCTCTGTCCTGCCCTCAAGGATACTCTCGACTGGAAAGACACTGGTCGTCAGATTTGCCATCCTCCTGCCCGACCTTTTCCTTTACCCATAATCTAAATAGCAGTGGATGCTGAATTCTAATTTTTTAAAATTTGGCTTCTTGTGAGGTAAACTTCATGACTTATGAAAAAACTTGGGACTGGTACTGAGACGTATTGATTTTGTCTGTGCCTATAAATGAAGTAAAATTCTCAAACACGAACACACGAAGGAGCTTGAAAAAAAAGGGAGTAAAGGAAAATGTTTCTACTTTTCAGTGTTCCTGGCTGTTGCCATCAATGGGCTGCAGAGAGGGTTGTGGGGAGGAGACAGAAACCTCAAGTCCAGGGTGAAGACACAATCATACTAGGCACCCTCAGCCTCCTGGGATGGGGCCTTAGACTCCAGAGTCCCTGTCACTTGCTCCTGATGTTGCCTCTGGGGATAGAGTCCCCTCCACCTGGGACTCAGTTCAGTGAGTCTCCAATCCTGGGATTTTCGCTGGAGGAGGGGGATCCTGGGGCATTAGGTCAAGGAAGGAGGGAGAACCCTGAGGAAGTGGGGATATGGCTGAAATAGAGACATCAGGGGTAGTAGAGGTTACAAGGAAGAGAGGAAGGAGCCAGGGAGGAGCGTGGCATGGGAAGGGCTGGCCAAGGAAACACCTGTGGAGTTTTCCTGGTGTTTTCTTGGTCTTGGGCCATAGAGAGTGAAGGGCAAGTGTCTGCGCCTCTGTCTGAGACCAGCACCAAGCAGCTGGCTTTCAGGTCCTTTAGGTGTCCCTTCCTTCCCTATGACAACTGCAGCCAGGCCAAGAATCCCCAGAGGATGTTATGTTGGACACACAGTAGAAGCTGGACACTATTGTGGGCTACAAGGTACTCAGTCATAAGACCCAGGTGACCGACTACCCATTTCCCAGTTTCTTAGATTTGGCCCCTGTTCCCTCTGCAGCTCTCTGCCTGTGATCTCTGGAATTGTATCTCTTTCTTCTTTGGCGACCCTTCTCTGCCACCTCTAAGCCCTGAACTTAAGAGATCTGTAGACCTGTGATCAAATCTCAATTTTACCCTGATGACTGACCCAGGGCTTTGGGCATCCAGAATCTAGGGGAGAATCTTCCTGGGCCCCTCACATTGCAGCTGAGCCACAGCTGAGATCTGGGCAACAGTGACCTATGACCTTGCAACCTAGATGACCCCTTCCCAGGCCCAAGATATATCAGAAGCAGTAGGTGGTCAGGCATCGCTGGTCTGTGGTTCTTGTGTGAACAGACCACAAATGTGGGGTGGTGCTGAGCTCATTCTTGTTGAGTGGCTCAGGAAACCAGGACCAACTAATATGTATGAAACACATACCCATCACTTCCCAGAAGAACCCTAGTATGGACTGAATTGTGTTCCCCAAACTTCACATATTGAAGCCCAATAGATTGCATTTGGAGATAGGGTCTTTAGGGAGTTAATTAAGGTTAAATGAGATCATAAGGGAGGGGTCCTAATCTGATAGAAGCGGTGTTTCTAAGACAAAGAGACTCCAGAGTTGTCTCTCTTTCTGCATACACACAGAGCAAAGGCCATATGAGTGCACAGCGAGAAGGTGGCCATTGACAAGCCAGAAAGAGACCCCTCCCCAGAAACCAAATTCCTGGCACCTTGATTTTGGACTTTGTCATGCATTGGATGCTTGTATCCCCCCCCCCTGCCCCCCACAAATTCATATCTTGAAGCTCTAACACTCAATGTGATGGCATTAGAAGGAAGGGCCACTGGGAGGTATTAGATTCAGATGAGTTCTCGACAATGCAGGTCCCCGAGATGGGATTTGTGTTCTTATAAGAAGATGAAGAAACTAGAGCTCCCTCTCTCAGTCTGATGTGAGGATATAGCAAGAAGGCAGCTGTCCGCAAACCAGGAAGAGGGTCCTCACCTGGAACCAAATCTGCCAACACCCTGATCTTGGACTTCTGGCCTCCAGAACTGTGAGAATTAGATGCCTGTTGTTTAAGTCACCAGTCTGTGGTGCTTTGTATGGCAGCCCAAGCAGACTAATACAACCCCAAAACCAAACACCAGTAAACTTACGCTTTTCAGTCTCAGACCCAACTTTAAGGAATTCTTATCACTGTATTTATTCATTCATCTAACAAATATTTAAAAGTACCTCTGTGCCAGGCATTGTTCTTGGCCCAGTAAATCACTTAATAGTCACAAAACAGCTGCTTTTCTGATGCTGAAAATCTCACAGGAAAGACAGACCAATAAAAACATAACAACAGCAGTAAACTATATGGTATGTGTTTGTGTTATCTACTTCCAGGTAACAAAGAGTCCCAAACAATCCCAAACTAAAACAACAAGCTTCTTATTAACTCTCATTTTATGGGTCGACTGGGCTTAGCAGGCAGCTCTTCTGCTCCACGTGACCTGGGCCAGAGGATGAATGGCCTAGAACCATGAAAGGGCTCCTGCACAGGGCTGTGTCCGTGCTGCTGTCTGCTGAGAGCTCTCTTGGGCTGTTTTATCTGGTGGCCTGTGTTCTCTTCCACCTGCTGCTCCACATGGCTTGGTTGCTCCCAGCTCCAAACCTGGGGTCCAGGAGGGAATGTTTAAGCAGCCACAGAGCATTTTATGTCAGAACCTCAGAAGTCAGGCAGTGTCCCTTTCCCCATATTGTAGTCATCAGAGCCAGTAACAGACCCAAGGGGAGGGAGATCAGACCCCAACTCTTGATAGGGGATGGCAAGGTCACATTGTGAAACAGCATGTGGGATGGCAGATATTGTTGAGACCATAAGTGAAGAAATCTTCACATTATGTTAGAAAATGATAGGAGATATAAAGAAAAAATCAGGCATAGTAGACACACAATGCAAAGTAATGGAAGAAATGGCACTTTAAGATCGGATGGTCAGGGTGGGCCTCATGAGATGCCATCTGAGCAGACTTGAAGGAGGAGAGGCACTGAGCCATGCAGATGTCTGAAGGAAGAACATTCCAGAATTGCCCTCTGTACATAGCCAGGGCTCTGCTTGGGGCAGGCACTAAAGCTGCAGCAGGAATGCAGGCAGGCACACTTAGGGAAAGACTTCTGCAGGGGGTTGTGGGGACTTGGGTCCCCCCAACTTCCTGTCAAGGCTGTAAGAAGTCCTGGGGTTGGGGAAGGGGAAGGCCCTGTTGTGAGGAAGAAGACCCAGTGAGGAAGGGGGTGGTTGAGGTGTATCCCCTCTAACTCCACCTCTCTGCTCTCTCCTGTGTCCAGTGCCACGCAGGGCTGTGGTCACTGATAAGGAGGACTCTGAGGGCAATCATGTGCTGAGAGGCACAGCAGTCGACCTCTCACTTGCCAATGTCAGTCTGACTTTGCTGCAGGAAGGGAAGGAGCTAACCCTGGACTCAGAGTTCAGGGGCAGCTGACCTGAGGGGGAGGGAGGACAGACAACTATCAGGACTGGGTAACTGTGGGGGTCCTCCTGGAGGGCAACAGTGATACACCTGCCTGGTGGAGCACCTGTGCCTGGAGGGACCTCTCAGTGTGACTGAAGCGAGGAGCTGTCAGAGGACCAGGGATGGGGTGGGAGCATCTCATTCACACCCTGCCCCACTCTCTGCCCATGCACCCAAGGCTTCTCCCTTCCCTCCTAGATGGAGGTGCTGGGCTGTCCTCAGCCACCCTCCAATCACTCCCATGTCACCCGCATTCAGAAGTCCTTCTCACTCTGACCCCCTTCATCCCTGCTGCACCTTCTGCCGCAGACCCAGGCTCTGACCTCTGTCTCCTCTTCTACCCTCACTTCCCACTGAGGAACCGGCTCTCAGTGAGAATGGGCTCTACCTGAGTTTGGGAGAAGGAAAAGGCTCATGGGCCAGGGGTTGGGGAGGGAGAATGGGCACAAACAGAGCAGAAATCAAAGGGTTGAGGGGTGATGAAGGCAGATGCTTCCACATCATCATTTTTCTCATACCAAGGGAACTGTTCTTCCCCCAGGCCCAGGGACATGGAAAGAGCAGCAGGAACAGGGAAATATTCCACATGAAAGAAAAATAGAAGTGGGTTCTGCCTCTGATGTCTTTTCTGTGTCATACATATTCTGTCCAATTTTTAAGTGAAACTTGTTTCTGAAACATGAAATTTTCCTTTAGGAAAGTCTCCAAATATTGGAGAATAAAATTATTAATGACTAAGCCCCACAAACAGAAAAAAACAGAGCTTAGAAAATAGAGATGTGCATGGGAAACTGGCCATCGAGTGCTAGATGTCAAAGGCCACATAGAACAAGCTCTCATGCACTGAAGCGAGAGCCACTGACCCGCCTTGTGAGCTCAGGCAGCTCTGGGAACCTCTGTGTCCTCTTTAGAAAAGTGAAATGAGCACCCAAGCCCAGATCTTCAGTTTGAAATATTATTCTCCAGGAAAAGGAACCAGGAATCCTTAGAATCATAGCTGATTGTATGGCTGAGACAGGTGATGGTCCTGATAAGCCTGGAACATAATGTAGTGCCAAAAAGGAAGTTCCCTTCTGCCCCCATACTCCCGTCCTCCCCCAGTGGGGGCTTGTCAGAGGGACACAGGAGCCAACCTGAGAGAACTTCCTATGAACTAAACTGGAATACCCTGAGCAACGAAATAACAATAGTATTGGGTAATTAACCCAAATTAAAAACAAACATCGATGAGTCCATACCGAAATAGGTAAATGATTGAATAAACAAATAAATGGGACAGAAGGGACAAATCTTCCTTACAGAAGAATTCCAAGTAACATATAAAGAGAACCCTCCTTCTAAGAACTGATGCTCAATTTCCTTCCCCTTAAATGTGGCCTGGACATTGTGGCTCACTTCTCAAGAATTGAGCATGCAAAGGCAAAAATAGTAATTTTACAGAGGGGAAGCTTGGCAGACATAACCTAAACCTAGTGATCCAAGCCATGTTCATACCATGCATCACCTGATGTGCTGACATGAGAAGGGCACGGGACCTCTATGCTGTTCTTCCCCAAACCCATTTGCCCAAACTGATCATGAGAAAGCCTCAGACAAACTCAATCTGAGTGACATTCTACAAATTATCTGTCCAGTACTCCTCAAAACTGTCAAGGTCATAAAAACAGGTAAAGAATGAGAAAATCTCAGATCAGAGGAGGTTAAGGATCCACAAGAACTAAATACATTAAGTTTGCTGGATTGAGTCCTAGACCAAGAAAAGGACATTACCAGAAAAATTGAAGAAATGCAAATAAAGTGTACAGTTTAGTTAACAGTATTGAACCAATGTTAATTTCTTAGATTTTTAGTTTTAACTTGGTTTTGTTATTCATATTAAGGGAAGCTGGGAGAAGGATATACAGGAACTCTGAGTTATAAGCTTTACAACTCTTCTGCAAATCTAAAGTTATTCAGGGGCCAGCCCGTGGCTCACTCAGGAGAGTGCGGTGCTGATAACACCAAGGCCATGGGTTCAGATCCCATATAGGAAAGGCTGGTTAGCTCACTGGGTGAGCATGGTGCTGACAACACCAAGTCAAGGGTTAAGATCCCCTCACTGGTTGTCTTTTAAAAAAAATAAAAATAAAAATAAAGTTATTCAAAATAATTTTTTAATGAAAAAATTAAATAAAATACATGGTCTGAATAGACCTATATTTACGACTGATATTGGATCAAAAATTAATATTCCAGATCTCAAAGTACCAGACCCAAATGGGTTCAGTGGTGAATCTGCCAAACATTTAAGGAAGAAATTATAGCAATTCTCTACAATCTCTCCCTGAAGAAAGAAGCAGAGGTAATACTTCCCAACTCATTCTGTGAGGCCAGCATTACCCTAATACTAAAATCAGACAAATTCATTACAAGAAAACTACATACCAATATCTCTCATGAACATGGATGCAAAAATCCTCAACAAAATATTAGCAAATGAAATCCACAATGTATATATAAGAATATACACCATGAGCAAGTGGGAATTACCTCAGGTATGCAAGACGGGTTCAAGATGTGAAAATTGATTAATATAATCCATTACACCAACAGGCTAAAGAAGAAGAATTTCATGATCATATCAACAGTTAGAGAAGAAGCATTTGAGAAAAGCCAACACCTTTTCATGATAAAAGAAAAAAAATCGTACCAAATTATGAATAGAGGGGGAACTTTTTCAACTCAATAAGGAACATCTACAAAAAGCCCACAGCTTACTTCATGCTTACTAGTGAGAAATTAGAAGCTTATCTGTTAAGATTAGCAACAGGGCATGAATGACCCTCTCACCACTTCTTTGCAACATCGAACTGGAAGGCCTAACTAACATAATGAGAAAGGGAACTAAAAGGTATACAGATTAGAAAGAAAGAAATAAAACTTTGTTCACAGATGAGGTGATTGTCTGTGTAGAAAATCCAAAAGAAACAAAGACAACAGCAAACCTCAAGAAACTAACAAGCAATTATAGCAAGTTTCTAAGATAGGAGGTTAACATGCGATAGTCAATTGCTTTCCTATATACCAGCAATGAAAAAGTGGAATTTAAGATTAAAAACACCATTTCCATCAACACCTCCAAAAATGAAATACTTAGTTGTGAATCTAACAAAATATGTTCAAGAATATGTACAAAAATATGTACAAGATCAATGTGAGGAAAACTACAAAACTCTGATGAAAGAAATAAGAAAACTAAATAAATGGAGAGATAATCCATGTTCAAGTTTAGGAAGACTCAATATTGTCAAGATGTCAATTCTTTCCAACTTTATCTATACATTCAATACAATCTTGATCAAAATCCAGCAAGTTATTGTATGGAAACCGACAAACTGATTCTAAAGTTTACATGGTGAGGTAAAAGACCCAGAATAGCCAGTGTAGGAGAACAAAGTCAGAGAATTGACACTACCTGACTTCAAGACTTCCTATAAAGCCACAGTAATCCTGGGGCCGGCCCGGTGGCGCACTGGATAAGTGTGCCACTTGGGAAGCGCTGCGGCGCTCCCGCCCGAGGGTTCGGATCCCACATACAGACCGGTTCCCGCTCACTGGCTGAGCGAGGCGCGGGAGCAACGCCAAGGGTTGCGGTCCCGTTGCCGGTCCCCGGTCCGGTACGGGGGCAACACTGAGGGTTGCGATCCGTTGCCGGGCCCGGAACACGACAA